AGGATAATTTTCTAGATTTGTGTTATTGGCATAAATTTTGAAAAAGAACGACTTTCATCACTATACTCCCTTTCACAACCTCAGGATGTCCTGAAGTGCTTTACAGCCAATGAAGTACTTTTGAGATATAATTAGTCACTGTGGTAATATAGGAAACACGGCAGCCAATTTGCACATAGTAAGCTCCCTCAAACAGCAATGTGACAATAACCATATACTCTCTTTGATAATATGAACTGTTAGGGACAAATATTGGCTGCAGAACCGGTGAAAATTCCTTTCTCTTCATTGAAATGATACCATGGGATTTTTTAAATGTCTATCGGAGAGGGCAGATGAGACCTTGATTGAACATCTCATCCAAAAGTCATCATCTGATACTTCCTGTTCCTTCAGTGATGCACTGGGATATGTGGCTTGATTTTTGTGTTTGAGTCTCTAGGTTGGGATTTAGAATCGAGCACCTTCTGACTCAGAAGTGAAAGTGCTATCAACCAAGCCACTGTTGATGTGAATGAGCCCATGTATACTTCCATGAAGTATATACATCCTTGCAGAGTGAAACCATGTGGAATTGCCTAGAAGACTAGCTCGTGTATTGAAATGTTACAAACGAAAGCAGTTTAAATGCTGTTGCCCACGTCAGGTACTGATTCAAGTACATCCTGTTTAACATTCCTCCAGGTGATTTATCCAAAGGCAATACTGACTTCTAATATTTTGGTTATAAATTGACAAATCTCTTTTGAGAGTCTGGACGATTAATTATTTGTAATCTTCAAGAGGTCTTTCAATATTGCACTATGTAACTATCAGATATAACTAAAGAAAATAGTCAACTACGCGGGGTTATAAAAATGTGATAATCATTATTAAATTATGTTGTAATTATTGTATCCCTGATTGTTTACAAGGGAATTCTAAAATTACTTCTGCAGTACAGCTGCATCACAGAACTTAAAGTTTTGTTAAACTCCGGACCTTTCCCAGATTAAAGCTCCTGCAGACCAGACTAGCAGTCATTTATATTAATGTGTAGGTCCACTTAGGGATCATTACACTGCCTCTGAGGTTCAGAGGTCTATGCTAACTTGAGTAAGATCCCATTAAGATATCAACAAGGAGCCTATGATGTGTGTGGTCACTTGACATGAATATTACTTACATCCTCATCTATTTCAGTAAGGTTACAAAGTCGCTTCTGGCTGTTAGCTTTTATTCTCAAAGGACAGTTTTTCATCTTGCAGTCAAACCTATTTGTAGATCTTAAATGTAATACACCTTTAGAAAGTAACTTAGGTAAGGTCTAATCAAGACATATAAATAAAATTCTTTTAGCTCATTTCTTGGCAAATTATTATGTGAAACCAATTATTTGAGTTGGAGCTAAACTGAATTTGTATCTGAAATGACTCTTTCTATCGCTGAAAAAAACTGGAATCAGGTCCCATCTCGCTGTAAGTTTCAGCCATAGTATGTCATCTTTGGGATTAGATCCGATGCTGTATAGCTGCCAACTGAAGAAACCACAAACTAGAGAATTCAATTTTCAATGCAGTGCAAATAAAATATAGCTTCAAAACAAAAAAATGTTTAGTGATATCCTGAACACCAGCACATCATTGAAGTCTGACAGTCAGGAGAAATTCAAATGAAGAATTTTATGGGAATCCGCGGCCTGTCAGCCGTATCTGGGCTGTTATGCCAATGGTTGCTTTGCAACATGAAAAGGAAAGTGTTTGTAAGTGCTATCTGTTTAGCAGCAAGTATCACCATGGACTGACATTAAAACATTTATCCTTAATTTAAAAATATTTGTTTAAGCCTTCAGTATCCATTTGTTTGTTTGATGCATAAAAGCTAGTCTTTCTTCAGACAAATTGTTGAATGTTATAGAATATCAAATATAAAGTCATTCAGCCTGTTCCTGCTGCTGGCTCTTTGAAGAGATCTCCAATCAGTGATACTAACCTGCTCTTTCCATGTGACCCTGTAGCTGTTTTTCTGTTTAAAGTCTGTATCCTGCACAGGCAACATGATAAATAACAGCGTCTAAGTAAATGGTTTACCTGAACCTGTGTAAACTTTCCATGGATTTACATCCATATGATGCTTGCAGCATTAGATATAAAGTAGCAGTGTAAGCACAATATACATTAATGATAATAATGTATGCCAAACCTGTAATTTGAAACCTGGCCTACAGTAGAGGAGACATATAATCTGCTATATAGAGCTGACCACTTTGTTTAATTTCATTATTATACATTGAGTTGAGTGTCTATTATTACCATATGGATGTACCTGGTAGGAAACTGTGGTATATGTCAATCATTTAACTTCGTGTTTACACTCACCATCTTGCTCGAGCATTCAGAGATGGATCATTCTATTCGAAGTAATTTCTACACAAATCTGCTGTAGATATTGTGTTTTGTGACGTATAATGTTGTTAGAAATTCATCTATGAAGGATGAGTTTACGAGAGTGTTATAGATAGTGTGCAGCGGAAATCTTTCCATGTGCTTACCAAGAAATTGAGATGTTCCACCTAGCCCATTTCTCCATCTGCTTGTGGCAGTGTAAAGTCATGTCCGTGTGCTGCATTAAATGGTTTGCAACAACAAAAAGATGCTTCTTTCTCTATTTTATCAAAGATGTGGTCACAGTTGATGGACTGGGGTTTCTGTCAAAGTGCTCTGGGACATTTTTCAGTGCAATTCCACCAATGTTCGCTTAACCAACACAAAAACTGTTGGATTTTAAGTGCAATTTGCATCCGACGCAGCTCAAGTTTCTGTGATCTTTTGCGATGGTCTTAAACACCCAATTAGAAAAAGCCTCTGCCCATAAAACTGGCCATGCACCCTCTTGTGAATTAATCACTATTTGGAGCTTCTGCAAATTGTTTCTGTTCTCAGGCCCACACAGAGGCTTCAAGAGCTTTGCTGGTTATTTTGGGCACAAGGACACTAATAGGTAGGATTGGAAAGGTTATATGAAGGAACTCATTACTGTGTCCTAATCTAACTAGAAAATAGAACTGTACTTTTTTGAAAGGTCATTTTCAATGAACTTCAAAGCATTTGGTAGATTGGCACTGTGATTCAAAATGTTTAACTTTTTCTGCTAAACACAGTATTATTCAAATTTTACCAAGCTTCCATGATTAAGTATATCAAGGAATGTTTTCTTAATGCAACGTTTAAAAAAAGTATTAACACATTGCTTGATTATGCTGGATAAAAACAGATTTCGCTCTTCCAGTTATGCAAATGAGTTTGAACAGAAATTTGGATCGAAAAGAAAATGCCTTTCAAATTGGGTGCAAATTTGAGCACCGTTTGCCTTGGAATTGCCAATAGAGCCCCAAATGGGGCTCAATTACAGTGGTATTGTGGCAAAAGCTCAGTATGACAGAACAAAATAGCAAAGAAATTTGAAAGTAAGATGTGGCAAACAAAGTATGTTTTATTTTAGCTGTAGTGACATTGTCCACCTAGAGAATTTGCATTTTAATGCCAGGGCTCCCAAACTGGGTATCATGACCCTGAGTTGGAACACAAGATGAGTAGCTGTGGTGGCAAACATTTTCTCCTTTGTGGCAGAAAAGCAGTGACTCAGATGGGACTGTTTGGGGATCAGCTCTGAGTAGCCTTGGCATGCAAGTGCACTATTTTGTGTTTGCCTTGTTCTCCATTGTGACCGTGGCTACAACGCTGAGGCCCATGGCTGCCTCCAACTGAGGCTACAAAATGGTAGGTGAAAAAAAACAACACTGCTTGTTCTCCAATGCACTTTAAACTCTCACAGCTCTACCCATCTCACGATTCTACCTCTCTCACAGATCTCCCTCTGTCCTCCCACACCTCTATACCACACCCACTCTCATAACTTTATCCCTCTCACAACTCCTGTATTCCCCTCAAAATTTCCACCCCCAACTCCATGGAATCCCACCCGTGTTCTCACAACTATATCCTACCAGCCCCCTCTCTCACAGCTTTACTCCCTTCACGAATCATCCTTTCCCCACTGTCACAATTTGACTGACTCCACTAGAATGCACCTTTCCCCTCTTTCACAGCCCAGCTCTCCCTTCCCCCCTGCCAACCTTGCGTTCTAACTCTGGGGTTTTCGCAATTTTCAGGCATTAAAATGGGGTCACAGTTGAGGAAAAAAAAATGCAAAGCACCATTCTAACCTTTTTGTGAGATGCATTGCAAGCATTATTGCTTTCTTATGGGTGACTATGCAGTGCATTCACAGCAATCTTTTGTCACAGTTTTTTTTAACAACTCCGCTATGAAATGCAAATATATGCGACAAGGTACTGAACAAGATTATTTTTTCATTTACCTTTGTGTCCCAAAGGAAGCAATGGGGTTGATTTATATCCTGCAGTTAAATATGATCCTTGTGTAAAATGAAAATTTATTTTTGTGTTTAAACAACTTTGAAAGTTTTCAAAGCTAACTTCAAGCACATTTCACTGATATATGTGGTATGTAGATGCAACCTACTGGAACAGTAAAACTTTATAACCAAATACAGCTACTCTAATTATAAATTGAATTTGACAGGCATGTTATGTTGTAACCTGGTCCATTTTAAAATGATGTTGGCTGACAACCCCATACTGCTTTCAGAGGACAGGAACATGTGGAAAAAATTGTTCTTTTACATTTCGCAGCTTGTCACTTCCTCTCCAGGGCAACCTTTGACCTCCCAAAGAGATCCTATCACCCACAAGGGAAGTATTCCCACTGGTGTAAAGGAAGCAGAGAAAGGTTTTCATGTTGTGGAGGGAGGGGAGCAAAGCAAACACAAAGAAAAAGCAAAAGAAAAAAAAGAAGATTTTAAAGTGTTTCCATCAGGTTGAACATCTGATTTTATTTTGTTGTCGTACATATCACTACATTCCTTTGGGCTCTAAAGAGCATAAAAATAAAATGTGATTAAATTAGCACTCTTTCTCATTTCTTTTCTTGTTCCGTTAGGAACCGGCAACAAGCAATGGTTTTCGTACGGATGGGAAAGAAAAAGCAAATTTGAACCTTAAAGGTATTACCAAATGAATTGTATGCTGTGATGTGTTGACAGGGCTGTACTTGCATACTGTATTCAAAGTCTGTCAACTTCATGTTTCATCAATAGGGCTAAAACAAGCAGATTTGAAACCACTTTTAAGCAAGAGAGTGAAAATCCAAAGCAGCCTTTTTGTCTACACATGCTACTTGAATTCAAAGAAAGTTTCATCTCCTGCTAGGGAAATCTTTCGTTTGGCCAGTTGTTTACAACTGGAGTGAGAATTACCTTCTGCAAAATATATTGCACAATTTGATATTTCAGATCTGCAGGAAGCAGAGTAAATTGATTATTTCGTGAGCACGCATGGTTTAAATTTTAGGAAGTCTTTTACTGCAATTAAAATTAGACAAGAAAATGTGTGATGGTAAATTCTCCCAAACCATCTCTGTGAATTCCTGGCAGTGGCTATTGCTGATGTGTGAATCCAATTTTGTGGCAAATGACTTATTCAGCTAACAGGATTTAATTTTTTGCCTCCCCACATTGATGCAGCACAGTAATGTTCTCAAATACTTCACTATTTCACACTAACGGGATTCAAAGGGATTGCGGCTTAAAACTTAGAACAATTATTTTTCCCCTATGACAATTGGCCATTCAAAAGTTTGATTGAGTCTATAGGAATTTGCAACTTAATGCTGTTAATTTTTGCATAAAAATAGCACCCCAATAATATCATTTAAGTGAGGTTGCTTTAATACTATAGCAGCGATTCTTGCAGTGTGGACTGTGACTCTATCCTAATGTTTACAGTATGTTGCAATTTTATTTGTTATATATTTGAAAGAGAATGGAATCTTATTTTAGTAAGGGCACTTATAGGTGTTTACAGTGTGAAGACTGTGAGTGGAATCTTCTGGTGGTGAACCTGGAAGCGAGGAGGTCATTCAGTTAGAATGAATGGTTGGCAGACCTGAATCATTTTGCCTGCCTGTCTGCATCTGCCAGAATTTAGTTCAGGGTGCAAGGGCCCATGCTGAACCTTCCCACTCTGTGCTTGATTGAGGCATGGGGCATCTGGAAGTAGAGACCTGTTGAAAGCCAATCCCCTGAGTATGCGTGCAAGTCCCTGCATCTCTCAGCTCATGACCCCGGACCGGTGAACAGCTTCCCCGCATTACTTGCCTATAGCCTGGTTCATTCTGTGACTCTGGTGTCAGTCCATCTGATGCCAGCCAAGTCTTCACAGTGACAGTATTGAGCACAAAAGCTGCAGTCCTCAGATTGAAAGAAATCTTTTGGGAGCTTTGGTGGATCTTCCAAATGGACGCAGTTTACATCTCTTGCTGGCTTTCCAAATGGCAGGCATGACTGACAAGCCCATGGACAGGAACAAAGTACAATTTTAGTTCACCAGCAGTTTGTGCTTACCATTTTTATTCAGCTGAAAACAGAGAGAACTAATCAAAACTCAAATTCTCAACATTCTACAAAATAGGTCTTTTTTCTCCCCATTTCTCCACTTCCAGATGTGGTCCTTATCCCTGCTTAGAGGATAGTTGGGTGATTTATTCCAAGTTTAATCCTCAGGATTGCTCTGTCTTGCCAGATGCAGAGTCTTTGCTAACATATATAATTCTGCCCTTTCTCTGTGAGGAAGCACTTGGCTTCTGCGGTTCACTTCCTCCCCAAGAATATACAGTGCACCTGTTCAGATCATGGTCGAGGTAAGTCAGGTTTGAATCTGCAGTGTACCATTGCATGACTCGATGTGTTGGACCTCCACTGCATTGCCCTTCATTGTCACGGGGACCTGTTAATAATAAAGTACGCAATTGGATCCTTTGCTCATTTTGGACAATAAGTATCTTTGGAAGACATTCAGAAGATGCATTCTGTTAAAAATTATTTTTGAAAGAGTTACTATAGTATTCATTGCAAATCTTAAATTGCATTGCGACCATAATAATGCCTTACAGGATTGTTTATTTGCAGACGACACGTCTCTGTTGAACCCATGTGCAGATACTGAGAATTGCAAATTTAAAAAAAACTTATTTCTGTAAATGTGTTGTTCGAGTTGATAAGTCAAGAATCTGTGGTACTTTGCGGCAGAAATTATAGCTTCAGTTTGAAACAATGTCGTACAGCAACTACCCACACAACAGCTCTGTTACCTCTTAAATCAAATGAGAAGCAGATCCTTGTTATTTGCAGCATGCTGATTGTGTGATGACATTCCCCAGCACACTGCAGAGATGTCCTGAGAGTGATCCAGACAGTATGAAATTAAACAAATCTTTTTTAATGAAATCAGCTTCTAAACACTTAATGGTTAAATGAGAGGATTATCATCAACATAATATTTCTGTATGATTCATAGCTGTAAGCATTCATCATCCCACTCTGATTTGAAATGGTGGGAGTCTTTTACCCTCCTTTTCTTTTATCACTTTTCTCTTTCTTCTCACTCATCCTTGACCACACATCAGAAGCAGATCGGTGTCTGGCCTGCTCTCAAATCTATTCCAATGCTATTGAGAATTGCTAATGTTTTTTTAATTTCCACTCGGCATTTTGCCACAGCAATATGACTAAGTGTATTGAGGAAGTGCATGTTATCCCATTGCTGAGGGCAATTGCACCAATTTACTCATGAGATAACAGGTCTTCTGTACTCATGGAATAAACTTGCAATTGGATTTCCTCTGTTTACAATTTTTGCAGTTTGGCAAAAGTCTCAAAAATGTTGAAATGATGCATTTTCCATCATATTTTTGTGTGCTGCAAAAATACTCAGATTCTGCTAGCATAATATATGTAAGCAGCTGCTAATGGTAGAATTATTATTTCAGTTTATTCTTGTTTGTCGAAGGCGGACAATACTCTCACAAAAGCAAAATGCTGTGGATGCTGGAGATCTGAAATAAAAACATAAAGTGCTAGAGAAACTCAGCAGGTCTGGCAGCATCTGTAAAGAGAGAAACAGTTTTGTGTCCTGTTTTACCCAAGGGGAATTTAATTTCCGAAGAAGAGCCATACCGGACTTGAATCACTAACTGTGTTTCTTTCTTCACAGATGCTGCCAGACCTGTTGAGTTTCTCCAGCAATTTCTGTATAAAGATGCCAGTGCATCTGATACATGAATTTGTAGTTAGTAAGTTTCTTTTCATAATTTCTTTCTCTCTTTCTGAGGGCACCGTCTCATGCTGAGCCACATAAGGTATTAACAGTCTTATTGTACCTGCTGCAAATGACAAGTTATTATTTGTGGAAACTACATGTGTTACCAGGCCATGTATCCATGGATGAATCTTCAGTTGCTCGTTCTAACAGAGGCCACAGAATAGTGTCCAGGGCTCAGAATGCAGACTCCTCCCTTCCATGACTTGGAAGTCAGCTCAGATCAGTCAACATGGTAAAGGCAACAGATTCATCTTTGGCTTTAGTTGTTCTGCATTATTTACACATGCACAGTGCAGTGTATTTACCCTCTGAGATTTAGAATAACTTGTTCTTATTGTGGGTGATAATTATGCAGAATTAGGTAGAAAATACAGCACAAGGACAGACTATTCATTGCAAATGATTTGTGCTATACTCCAAACCGGTCTCCTTTTAGCATATCTTTCTATCTCCGTTTCTCCGTGTGCTCATCTATACTGCTTTCAAAAAAAACCAAAGTGTTTTGCATCAATCAGTTTCTGTGGTAGAGAATTCCTGATTCTAACTATGCTCTGAGTAAGGAAATTTGTCCTTATTTTGCTATCGATCTGTTTGTCTTGAACTTATATTCGTTGTCCCTATTTGTGTTCATTCCTACCTTGTGAAACCCATTCATGGCTCAAAAGATCTGTATCAGGCCACATCTCAGTTTCCTCTTTTCTAAATAAAGAACCCCATTCAATCTTGAACATCTTGAGTGTTAGATTCCGTGGTTTCTGACAGAGAGTCAAAGAGCTGACATATTAAAACTGACTTACTTTTCTCACAGATGTGTCCATGTGTCCAGATCTGCTAAGACGTTTCCAGCTTTTTCTGTTTTCTAGCGGTAACAATTTATTTATATTGGTAGAGCTTATTTATGGAGCTTTATGGAGCTTTTCTTTTTGCCCTCGCTGCCTTTTACTTGAAAGCTGTGTGTCACTGAAGAAAATGTGCAGCAAATTCGCACTATTAAACAAAGTTGAGATATTTGGAAGTAGAAAAAAATGCCACAGATAACTAAGTTTAAACTTATGGTTTCTGAATACTGTGTGTGAAATGTGATATTCATTTACCATTACACAAAGTATGTGAATGTTAACCTAAGTGCTTTAGGTGTCTTGCTGATTGTTCGCCTTTATTCAGAGTAGCTGATTATAGTAGATATATTTGGATCCTGAAGCAAAAGAAAAATTACATTGGTTTAAATTTTTCCATATTTATTATATTGCTGTGACTGGCTGCAAAAGAAATTTCTTGTATTGCAATTTTTGCATGCATCAAGCAAAGGTTTACTTAATTAGAACCTCCGGGCAATGAAGAATTCTTTTTTACATTCTGTGGGTCTTAATATGCTAAATAATGCAAAGCTTCAACTCTTCAAGCATGAGACACACATCTGGTGGCTTAACATTTAAATTACAGAAAAAACACTTTGGTAGTAATTTTCTAGCAAGGGAAGAATGGAAGTTGTATTACAACTAAATTTAATTTCTTTTTAGATTTTTCATCTCCTCTAATTGCGAGTATTTGACTGATTTTCCTTATATGTTTTATTCAGATCTTGGTGCAAATTATATTGAACTTCAATTTGAGTAGCTCCTCACTGTTGTTGCAGTAGAGAAATTATTGTTATTGCGTTTTATTTAGCAAATTATTACAAGATATTTGGAGAGTAGGAGTTGAAATGAATTCAGCCAGCCACTGTTGCAGCTTTGGGTAATATTATTGAATCTTGAGTAAAGGCAAAAGGCAGAATTGGGCTGCCTTGGAAACAAATTGGAGTGACTTTGCATGTTATTTTTAAAATGCTTGAGAAAAATAGAAA